ATTACACAGGTATATAGATATATATGCAAAAATGTATCATTTGAGATTACTGCAGCTTCATACTTTATATTTATTTTGATCTCAATTTTTAAAAGAATAGTATTGCATCTTTTATTGATTCATTGCTTTAACTTTCAGCTAAGAGGTATAGAGCTTTATATACCAGGATAGATTCAAGGAAGTGAAATATAATAAGCAATAGGGCTCAGAGGGTCCAAGGACACCAAAAGGTAGGAGAGAGGCATAAATATATACTTGGGATTGCTTGCATAGTAGTATCAGTTGCTCCACACACAAAAAAGTGATACTCAATAATTGGACCTTATATAAGCTAAAATATATAATCATCTAGTTTGGGATCTTTTCAAATCAGATTTTACATCTGCCTGTGCCCTAGGACATTCAGACAGTGACCGATGCCAGTAAGTCTAATGTGTGACGAATATAGGCAAATTGCATTTTTTCTGGTTCATTTATTTTTTTAAATTGTGTTAACTAGTTAAATAATTAGTTTAAACATGCTCAAAGCCAAACAAAAGTAAAAATATTGCAAAGGAAAGGAGAAAATATGTTTGCCTTTATTCTTAAACTAGTGGTTTACTGCATGGAATTTAGCAAGATTGACCATTGTAATTGCTTTTTCTGGAATGAGCAAGAACCATATTCTCATTCCTCTGCCACCACAAATACTAAGCAGTCACTGGAATGTCTCTTGTGGTATATTTGTGGGTTTATATCATGTCACTTCTACTAGAATTGTAATCATTAATTGCTTAAGAGTTCATTCAGTTTAAAATATTTTCCATCAAAAGCCACTCTCAAATAAACACTTGGAATAAAATGGGAAGTAGTGAGGGGTTTTTAGAGTGTAGCTTTTAAAAAGCACAAGTTAACTGTTTCATACTTTAAATTATAAATTGTGCTGACTGCAAATGCAACTTGCACAGTGAATTGTTTTTCATTTATGAAGACAGAGTTTCTTGGTTTCATACCATTTCATTTGTGTTGGTTTGTAGTACTTCCAACAACTTTTTAAAAGACATAAACTAGAAAGCTCTCAGTTCTTGGTAGCTAATCCAGACACTTCCTTAAGATAAACCTGCAGGGACCCCGTTTTCCATGACATGATTATTATATATTAGATGCCTGTATCGAAACATCTCAGGCACCCATAAATGTATACACCTATGTACCCACAAAAATTAAAAATTATAAGAAAAAAACATTTTTTCTTAGGCATTGTCAAACAAAAAAGTCCTGCAGGGGATAGATTCCAGTAGGAAATTACTTTCAAGCAATTTTTCTTCCAGTGATATTTCAACAGTGTCAACCAGTTTTTCAAGTTATATAAGGAGCAAAAAAAAAGGTAACATTTTTAGATAAACTTTACTCCTTACATCCAAATCTTTAAATATTAAAATTGCATTTTATTTTCCCTTGGAGGAATAAATAATTTATTATCTTCTGATATAAGGAAAGAAATAATTGAAAAAAATCTAGCTCTCCCTTTTCTTAGTAACTGATCTCCTAGTATTCAGAAGCTGCTTATATAAATGGGGTATTTGCTTTTTTAGCTGTATTTACAGCTTTTGCCAGATGAGGATGTACCCTGCATACTATAAATATGGATTTCTAGCTGTTACCAGAAATCTTGGTAGGCACCGCTGTGGAACTCAAAGCATGTTTAAAGATCAGCCACTGGTAAGTCTAAAATAATATCAAGTAATAATGATTGGTAAACCTATTAAACAAAGGTTGCTGATTCATGAAGACCATAAAATTATAGGGATGAATATGTTCTTAATAAACCCTCTCTTTCTTTTGTCCATTTCAGGCTTGAGTCGACTATACTTAAATGAGCCTAAATAGAGGAGACATTCTGTATTTTGAAGACCAACTATTCCAGTAATTCAACAACTTCCTTTAGGGACCTACTGTGATGTTTCACCACCCTTTTTTTTTTTTTTTTTTTTTTTATTGAGACAATATTTTTCTCCTTATTTGTCATCAAAAGCCCTCTGGCTGCAATTGAAATTTGAGCTGGGCCTGTGATTTTTCTACTTTTTGAGGAAGTATTTTCTGGCTTTGTTTTTCATGGCCTGGAAATAAAACCTCTAAAACGGAGTTAGAAGGGGCAGTGCTGAATCCTCCACACTTTGCCAATAACTCCCTTCTCTCTCCCCAAACAACACACAAATACACGGTCACTTTGTTTCTCCATCTTTTTCTTGGCATACTTACACAATTTTATTCCCAAAACATAATTGAATGATCTCTCCCCGATTCCTGGTTTAGGGGAGAAAGACTAGTAAAAGTTAAACTAAAATTGTCTGGGCAGTTGATAATACAGTCTCTTTGACCTTCTACCTAAACAACGGTCAGCTGGTGAAGTCCCAGGGCCAGAGACCACGTTAGGAGCCCAGTCATAAGGACAGGGGACAAAGAGCACCTGGGGTAGATTGAGTTTTCCAAGCTGGGACTGAGAGCAGAAGCAGACTACTCCCCAAGACGGATTTAGTCTGGAGTCTAAGGCTGCAACACAAGAGTTGTTTAAATGATGTCTCTTGCTTCAGGTCAGGGTTGTACCATTCAGAATAAATGGAAGTAAGCTGGTTGGTATGAATGCTATAGTTATCATATGAAGAGGGAGGGGAGAGCCAAGTCTAGAAACCAAGCCAGACCTGAAAAAAACTGTCTCCATCTACAAAATGACAAAACATTAAATATCCAATGGGATTGTTATAGAAGCAATGGCAACTCAGTGGAATATTACGCAGTCATTCAAAATTATGACTAGGACTATATAGGAGCATGAATACATATTATGATACGAAGCATTTTAGTTTGCTAAGGTTGCCATAACAAAATACCACAGACTGGGTGGCTTAAATAACAAGCTTTTATTTTCTCACATTCTGGAGGTGGGAAGTCCTAGATCAAGCTGTTGGCAGGATTGGTATCTTTTCAGCTTATAGATGGGCATCTTCTCCTCTTAGTGTCTTCACGTGGTCTTTTCTCTCTGCAAATGCATCCCTGGTATCTCTCTGTGTGTCCAAATTTTCTCTTCTTATAAGGACACCAATCAGATGGGAACTCACCCTAATGTCCTAATTTTAACTTAATTACCTCTTTAAAAGCCCTATCTACAAATACAGTCACATTCTGAAGTGCTAGGGGTTAGGTCGTCAACATATGCACGGGGGAAGGAGACACAAAATCCAGCACATAAAGTGAGCAATAAGAAAAAAATGATAGGATGATGTGAACTCCACCATCCACCACTCAGTAAGGCTTATTATATATTAGTTCCTTCAAATCTCACAAGAACACAAGCCATCATTTAAGAGGAAGAAACAGATACTCAAAGAATAAAACAATTTGCCAAAGTACCCACAGTTATTACATATGGAAACTGGAATTTAAGGCCAGGTATGTATAACTTGAAGATTCATATTCTTTTCACCATGCTAGGTTGACTCTCATGTCAGTGGGCTTATACATTAAAATAGAGTTATCTGATTTTAAAAGGTATATGTCATTCTAGCATTATTTTATACAAATAAAAGAGGGAAATAAATATAGTTGAGAATTAAACATGCACCAAGTTACTTTGCAAGGACAGATAAAAAAGATGTAGTCTTTGTTTTTAAGAAGAAGGAAAATTTGCATGTATAAATGCATAAAACAGCTACAGGTAAGAAAAACAGATGTGATAACCACAAAACCAGTTAATCAATTAATGAAGAAATTAATTGTCTTAATCATATTATGCTTACAACTAAGTTTTTGTAAATCCATTTAAAATGTTTATATTGTATATCAGTATGCATTAACTCATTAATTCATTCGATTATATTTATTGAGAATCTGCCACATTTCAGACATGAATATATAGGCATGAATAAAACAAAAATGGTTGCTTGAAGACATGGAACCAACCTAAATGCCCATCAATGACAGACTGAACAAAGAAAATATGGTTCATATACACCATGGAACACTATGCAGTCATAAAAAAGAATGAGATCATGTCTTCTGTGGAAACATGGATGAAGCTAGAGGCTATTATCCTTAGCAAACTAATGCAGGAACAGAAAACCAAATACCACATGTTCTAACTTGTAAATAGGAACTAAGTGAGGGGAACTGATAAACACAAAGAAGGAAACAACAAACACTGGGGTCTACTTGAGGGTGGAGGGTGGGAGGAGGGAGTGGAGCAGAAAAGATAACTATTGGGTGCTGGGCATAATACCTGGGTGATTAAATGATCTGTATGACAAACCCCCATGACACGAGTTTACCTATGTACAAACATTCATATGTACCCCTGAACCTAAAATAAAAGTTCAAAAAATATAAAAAGGAAGTCCAGGAGCCATAAGAAGTTATCTTGCCCTTTGTCCCTATGCAATAAACCCCAAACACACACAAACAGATCACAGCCTTTGCTAGCTAAGGGCTTCTTAGACATCTCCCTTTTTGAGCAATATATGATTTAGCCTAACGATCCTAGCTTGTCCGAAAGGATTCCCTTCTGGCCATTAAAATCTCTCTTGCCACAATAAATTAATTAATTAATTGACTAAAAAGTTGCTTGTAGCTTCCAAAGAGAATTTTCAAAAATGGAGTCTTGAGACTATATGCACACAAACTATTTGAAATGCTTTTTTAAAAAACATAGACTCCTGGATCTTTTCTAGAACTATTCGATCAGATTATCTGAAGCTGGAAATTTTTAAGAATTCACCATCTAAAGTTTGTGATTTACTGGTCTATGGCAAGAGTCAATAAATGTGATGGGCGTTATAATAATTATCTGTTGTTGTGCGATACATTATCTCAAAACTTAGCATCTTATAAAACAGCAAATATTCATTATCTCACAGTTCTGTGGGTCAGGAATCTGGGCGCTTCTGTCTCAAAGCCTCTTCCAAGCCACTGGGACTGAAATCTCACCCAAAGAATGAACAGAAGGACCAGCTTCCAAGCTTACTCACGGAGTTGTTAGAGGCTTCCCTTCCTCATAAGCTGGAGGACTGAGGGCCTCGGTTCCTTGCTGGCTGTTGTCCAGAGGTCTTTCTTCGTCTTTTGTCATATTGGCCTCTTCACAGGGTAGCTCATGACATGGAAACTGAACAAACAAGAGAGAAAAACAAGACAAAAATCAGGGCCTTTATGTAACCTCCTGTTGGAAGCATCATCCAATTCCATTAATCTGAAGCAAGTCTCTAGGTCCAGCTCAAATTCAAGGTGAGGGAGGCGCAAGGGCAAGAATGCCAAGTCATCTCAATGGTGTCCACCACTTGTCCCTCACCCAGACTTGGAGGGTCAGCAAAGAACCTCTAAGCTCAGACCTGAAGAATGAGTAGCCAACATGGCGGGGGAATGGAGAGGCCAAGGACTATTCCAGAGTGAGGAAAGCACCACAAACTCAGGGGATAGCGAGAGATCAGTACATCCAGGGAAACCCTATTTGTCTATTTGTCTTGTAGATTTCTCAGTTGTTATCAAAAGCACAGTATTTGTGCTTGTTTCTGGGGACTTGAGAAGAAGTTCTTATCTCTACACTATCAGGATCAAGGAGAATTTTCTTCAAGCAAATAAGATACCAGAGATACTAAAATCTTTCCTGAACCTTAAACCTGCTCTGTGTGGGTTGTTATTAACAACAACAAAACTAAAATTCACACATGAAAATATAAAAATATATACATTTAGTAGAAATAAGCTAGTTTGTTTTCATTTAGTCCATCTTTGTTGTGGCAGAAGTCTTTTACTAACAATAAATCCTTCCTTCTTTGCTCCATGTTAGCTTTAATTCTTCATCATGCAAACACGGTCCAGGTGTGGGCCACACATTTAAAAAATAAAATAAAATAAAATAAAAATTGCTGGATATTTAGACTCTGTTACTGACTGAAGGAAAAAGAAAAAACAACAACAACAACAACAAAACACCAAAAAAACACCCTCTCAACAGAAGCTGCTTATCCGAGTGGCAATATGGATTGGAATAAATTTATTTGAATTTTTTAGTCTGTATCATATAACCCAAATTCAAAGTGGGGAATTGTGGTATCATAGAGAAGGCTCTGACCTCAGCATCTGGGAGAATAGGGTTTTGCTGGTTTTGTTTCGGCCACTAACTGATGAGTAAGCACGCGTAATTCAATTATCTTTGCAAGGCTTCTTGCCTAATCTGGTAAATAGTTTGAGTGAGACCAGTGTGGTTTTCAGTGTGATGCCCAGATCAGCGCTTCAGAATCACCCAGAAGGAAACTTGTTAGAAATGCAAATTTGGGACCGTACTTCAGACCCCTGAATCAGGAACTCCTGAGTGGAATGCAAGACTAGCCATTTGAATAAGTGATACGGTGCATTCTGAGACATGCACACACTTGAGAACCACTGAGCAAGAAAACCTCAGATCTTTCCAACCTAAAATCTATAGGATTCTGGAACTTTATGAGGATAGCAAAAACTAATAGAAATGGTAAAGTTTTCTAATTAAAAAATTAAGTTTGTTTTTGGACAAATAAAGGAGATGCTAGCACATCATGCTCTATCACATAACCATTAGGAGAGATAGATCAGTGCAGGTTATTATTTAAGCCTCTATATTGTAGAGTAGAGACCAAAGTAAAACCCAGGACTGGGCAGATTAAGGAACATACACCCAAGGTACAGCCAAAATTAGATGGC